CTGAACCGGCCTCTTTATATACCCTACCAAGATTGCCACTAAGCTCGGGAGTTGTGACCTCAGAACGCCGAAGAAACTGATAAACAGATTCACGAGCAGCTGTGATGCAAGTGTCGAAGTTTCAGAATCCCATTTACAGTCTTCAGTGTTGAGAGAAGGCGAGGATGGAGAATCGCCGCCTTCTTTGAAGAGAATATCGGTTTTCGTCCATGCATTATTGAATATCGGGGAAATGATTGAGCTGAAAATGCTAGACCAGAATGGTTTCGAGAAAAGATGGCCGTGATCCATCAGAATCTTGAAAAATACTTCTATGGAACTCTTCCGAATCCCGCGTCTAGGGTCAGAGGCTAGCTTAGACAAGCCTGAACGCATAAATACGTTAATGCTTTAGAACAAAGGCTGCTTTTCTGAGGCCAATATAAGCAGAATACACACCGATTTCGTAAATTACCTGTGAGAAGAGGAATCCAGTAGGATGGTTTCTCATCCACTTCGGCAAAAATCTGCGTATCGGATGCATCGTCCTTCCGATTTGAAGTGTTGTATCTGCTCTTCTCGTTCCAGACAAGTCCTCCTTCTGCCAGCTTTAAAGCGCATAAACGAAGAAACGTGATTGCATCGAGGCAAATGTCGCTTTCAAACCTGCTGTTTATGAAGGCGATGAGGCATTTAACGAAGTTGATGTAGGTTGTTGTCTCTGTCTCGGTTATGCAAGGAAAATGCTCACGGACGAGTTTTTCTACCGTCTCGAATGCCAACAGAACGATGTTCTTCCTCTCGTCAGCCGCAGCAGTTGTAAAAACCTGAACCACAAGGTTATATAGCCTGTGAATTGACCGAGAAATCATCTGAACAAGTTGGAAAAATGTAATGTTACATACCATGAAAACGCTTTTCCAACCCGATTTCACGTTACCAACTCGGCTGAGCACCATCTGAGAAACACAACGAACTATTAGTTCCCTAATTTCTGCGGAGCTGCTTTTCTGCATGACAATGACGAACGGCTGGAGAAACTCGTGTTGGAAATGGTAGTTTGCCAACTCTTCCCGCTCCAAGAACTTCATGGAAAGCTGTCGTAGTGAATCCATGACGAAAATTGCAACAGAGAGGTTCTCTGACAAGCCGACCGATACAAAGAAATCGGAGAGAACGTTCCATATGCGCGACCAAACTAATCTGATGCGGTTCATGTTATAATGCCTGTCACCGCAAAAGAAAAGATTTTTACATCAGCCAACGTTCATCCGATGAACGTAGCAAAGAGTTGCAAATATCAGACAAGAGAAAATTACGCTGTCTCGACGAGTTTTGTAAGGCTGAAGACACGAGGGTCAGTTGGGGACTGAAGTTCCGACATCGAAACTTTGCAAAGGGCTGTGACAAAAGCCACTATAGCTTCACTGTTCAATCTTTGGCTATGAGCATAGACATGGTTCAACTCAAAGTTGCCGATTTGATCGAGTAGATTCAAATTGGCGATAAAGTTCTTGATCTGTTCCTGAGTTACCAGTTTCGGAGCTGTTTTTCCAACCAAAGTACTGTCGTAAGAACCTCCCCTTACGACAGCCATCATGGACGGATTCTGAAGAGCTCCTCGTTTCTTCAAATGAGGGAAACCCAAAGCTTTCTTTTCGTCTATCTCGGCTTTTGTTGTCGGTATGTAAGATGTATCGGCAGGTGAGCCCTCTCCCAACAATTGCAGATGCTCTATCCGAGACAGACACGTCAATATATGCTCCCAAGATCCTTGAAGATGATTACCATCCTCTATGGCTATCGCTATTATCGCCTGTTTATAACGACAAAGCACGATTAGGCAGAGAGACAAATTCCGTACGAGGGTATTGTAGATGTCCGACTTACTTTTACAGCATCAACGTTTTTCTGCTTCATATCAGCAGCACAATGGAGATTAGTGAACTTTGCCATGGAAGTAACAAAAGCATCTCTCTGTGTTTGCATTCCCATAACTGCAGTGACATGAATCGCGTATCGGAAGCCCTGTAGACACAAAGAAGTAGCCAATTTGTCATCACTCTGGTCGAGAGTGAGGCTGAAGGCTGCGAGCATCGGGCCCCATCCGACCTCGATCATGAACCTCAAGATCGAGACGTCTGTAACTGTGTGGTAAACAGACCTGCAGATCAAGAACAATGTAAAAATCGAAATAACAATCGATATAAGCCTGAAAAATTCAACAGAAAAAAAGCCAAACGGATGACTAAACTCACTCCGATTTCTCAGACTTAGAGTGGAACTGTTCCTGGATATGCTTTATAAGAAGGTCGTTGGCACCATGCGGTTTCTCTTCTGGTTGCATCCAAGAAACCAGATTGAGAATGCCATCCAAACCCAAGAGCTTATTAAAACTATTTATTCGATTGCTCTGAGGAGCTAAAGAATCAGAGTTCATCTTGATCTGGTCTTTTACCACTTGATCATAGAGAGAACCAAGATACTCTTCAGGTAAATCCTTTCCGTCGTCTATTCCTCTATTGTTCCGGACGAAATCAGCTCTCGTCATCTAAACACACGCATCAAATCGTAATAGGCATCAGTATGATAAACAGAAACTAGACAGCCATAGTTACACTTTCAGACAGTATTTTACTTTGGTTCCAAAACAGTAAACCGGGCAAGATTCTTCTGGTTTATAAGCATAGCATACCTTGTCTTTAACCATGCTATTGTGTGCATCGGTGTTCAGCATTATCACGGAGTATGCGAGAATATATGCAGTGTCAGCACTCGTGAAAGAATCCGGGTTGCATTTCCAGTAGCGTTCTGCAAACTTTTCCATGATGCGGTCAATTTTCTGAGCTTCCCCCGGTAGCCTAAAGCCCCGTAGGAAGAACCTTATAGCTTCAGCGAAATCCATCCCTTCGAAATTAAAAGAGTCGACATAAGCATGCATAACTCTCAATGGAAATTCCTCTCTTTCACCGAGATAATCACCGATCACTGTTCCATTCAGTCCCACTGATTTCTTCAGAAACAAAGCCACTTCTTCTGGGGATCCCCCGATTTTCTTACTGCTGATGAGGAATTCAATTCCCTTCGAAGGCTTCCTGTTGAACAGGGAAACACCCTTCTGCACATCATAAGATAATATTTATCAGTAAATGGACCGTTATGTAAATATTTATCATCAATTTAGCGAATGTGTACAAGGACTTGTCAGTATTGGACCTGCAGTTCGATTTTATAAGCTCTCCTCTGCTCCAGCATAGAAGCATCATACACCTCGGGGTTCATATCGGGCTGTGAGTCACAGTCTGAGATTACTCCTTCTTCTCCAATAGAGACCGAGCTGTTCTCCACAGAAGCATATATTTGTGAGCCCTTTGTCCAAACCGTCTCGCCCACTTTCAGCTGCTGGTCCATCCAGTTTCCCATTGTCTTAATAACGTTAACCAAACACTTCACAGATTCATGTCTAAAGGTTATATCTTGGACCGAAGACAGCGTAGTGGACGAACCAGGAGGAGGTCCGAGAGCAGTTTTCAGAAGACCATTGACAATCCTGCAATTATCTGATGGAATTATAAGAGCTTTAATACATTTTTTGCTAAGCTAGTTAACTACGCAGTGGAATGGAATAGAAGTCTTTCGACTTGTGTAATACCTTTCGAATATGTTTGGGGAATCCACGTCGCAATCATAGTTCACGAATATATCCACAATCAACTGAGAGTCTTGTGACATTTTCTCGAGCAAGTTCAGGACAGTCATCTTCTGCAAGAAACTAGGCTGAAGAACGTTCTCGAGAACACGCAGGACAATCATCGGGAAGAAAATCCCGATCTCCCCCTTCAGAACCGATCTGAATTTCGTCAACAAGCTCATAAAGATCGCGCACTGAAGCTGAAATATCGACATAATGGAGACAGCACTGTTCTTGAGCAGTGAAAGGCACAAGTATTGCTTCATTGCGGTAACAAATCTCTGGTTGGAACGCCAAACAGGACCGCCATTGTCGATAATGACCTTGAGCAACTCCAGAGACAATGTCTTACCCCTCACCATGATCTGATCATCAGTGTTCTCTTGAGACAAAAACCTCATCGACAATTTGCACAAGTTCTTGAACAGAAGGAAGGCGTCTTCCCTCATCTTACTGGCGCTTCCATCATCAGAATCAGCCTCACCATTGGTCAGGAAGCCATGGGAAGATGGCGAATCCGGAGATGTAACCATTTCTGGGGTTGGATTTTGCAGAAGCAACTGAACAACATCAGGAGGAACAGGATTTCCTTGCCCTGCAGCCATGACATCGTTAATGAAACCCTGACAGAAGTAAACTGAGCTACCTTCTTTCACGGTCTTGTCCGTGAATGTTAACAGCTCGTTGACATAAACGGTCTTGACATCGACATCAAGCGACTCCTCCTCGGATCGGGTAAATATCACAAGCATCATCTGTGCAAGAACCGATTTCGCGCAGATCTGGACCGTACCGCTCAATCCACCGAGGTAGATGTTGTAACACGTCTTCACAACGTGAAGCAAGCAATCTCCACGGATCAAAACGCAAGGGGATCGAACCGCGGCAAGGAGAACGCGAAGAACCGCGAGCTGGATCGACTCCTCGGCCATTCCCCCGACCTTAGAGACGCTATTGATGAGCTTTGAGAGGATCGAATCGGGCTTCGAGGAGTGGATCTCGCCACGGAGGAGGGAGAGAGAGAAGAGCTTGAAGAAGCAATCGAGGGAGGGCTCGACGACCTTGGAATAGGCGGTGTCGAGGGAGAAGAGGAGGGGTTGGAGGACGGCGTCGGCATCGGCGGCGGAGAGGCCGGAGACAGAGGAGGAAGGGTCATAGAGGTCGTCGTCGGTGAGGGATTCGAGCTTGTCGAGGACGGATTTGCAGGTGGAGACCAGGTACGTGTGCTTTCTCCATGCCGCGTTTTTGATGATCTTGTCCAGCGACGGCCCGAGGACACGGCCGCAGCGGGTCGCGCCGCCGAGGGTGTGTGACATCGACATCGCCGGAATCTGTGGCGATCGGCGATCACTCCATCGGAGAAACTCAAATTTCAATTCAAACCCACGAGGAGAGAGAGACGTTTCGTTCCTGGTTTATATACGTTCTAGTTTTTTCTTCTCTCTGAACCGGTAAAAAGCCGCTCCTCCTGAAGAGGGAAGAGCGCGTGGAACTCACGCGCCAAATCAATATGTCTTCCCACTAATCTCCCACGTCCCTGACTCATCTAATCAAGTGTTAATATTTTTTTTTTCGCATGTCTTTAATATTCGGTGGTTTTATAATTAATTAATACGAAATTAAAATGTTCGATTGAATTGACTTCTCCGAAAACATAACGGATGCTTCATAACGAAGAAATAGATGCATTCATTAATTAGTAATTTGAACGGTTCGATTTTTTCTGGTGTAGAATATTTTTCTTTTTTTCGGACCAAAGATTGTATGATTATAAAAATGGTAAAAAAAATATGTTGTGTAATATTCGAGGGTTAAAAAACATAGTAAAAAAGGAAGAAAAAAAAAAGAAAACAGAGAGACAGGCGTTTGAGTTGCCAAAAAAAAACAGAACAATGAATGGTCGGTAGTTTGGCGCGGGAATTGAACTCGTTTCATAACTGACACCGATGTTTAGGATAATTACATGTCTGCCACGAAATGAAACGACGTCGTTGCTTAATTGGACCGAAAGTAGGCCCAGAATGTAATCCATACGACCCATGATCTTTTTCTTCAGCCCATATACATATATATATATATATATATTTGTTGCACAGTCTAAGCAATTGTGAGTTATTATTCACCTCAACTGTCGATTCTTATAAAATGATCTCAAACCGTCCGATGGGATCTCAACCGCGCGCATAAGATCTAATCTTATGATGCAATCTCCACCGTCGAAATCAAAATTCATCTTAACCATTAATTCCTATAAGCCGATCTCAACCGTTCAAAAACAAAATTCGATCTCCTCCGTCCGTTCAAAAGAATCAATTTACATTATTCAATCTCAACCATCAGTTCAAAAGATCAAATCTGGACTCTCGAATTCTATGAAGCGACCTCAACCGTCGATTCCTATAAAGCGATCTCAATCGTCGAAACACAAGATTCGATCCCAACCGTAGATGAAAAGAACAAATCTGAAAAATTCAATCTCAGCCGTCGGCTTAAAGATCTAACCTTTGTCGGAGGAGCGATCTTAGCTATCTTAGCTTCCCTATGGAGTGAAGATACACCGAAACAGAGACCACCCTGCAAACAAAAGAGCGCATTTATCATGATTTTGCTAAGGGGATGACTTATTTTATCCAAACGAATAAGAATATATAAGTATAGCTGAATCGAATTAGACATAAAACCGAATGATTATAATTTTTCTAAAAGCGAGAAACTGAATCCGAACAAAAAAATAATCTAAAAAACCATATTTGTTTTTTAAAGGAAATGATTATTTTATCAATCGAATGCAATCGAATTGAACCTAACCAAATTCAATATAAAAACCAAACGGTATAGTTTTTCCAAAACTGATATAACCGAACTGAACTCGAATCGAAACTCGAGTCACGTGAAAGTGAAGAGAAAGTGCATTTGTTATAAGAATTTCGCATGAAAGCTTACGTCGAACCGAGGAAGAAGGGTAGCGAAAGATGGAAGTTGAAGAGGAAAACAGACACAACTGCTGTTAGAAGCATTGCCACCGATGTCGAGTAAACCTGCATAATGTTCCGAAGTAGAAAAAAAAATCGACACCATCATAAGTTTGCACAATGAACAGGAGGATGGCTGCCTCTTTTACAAAAGGAGCCACTACCCGAGAAACAAATATGAATTCACACGTTACGTTACAACCTTCACGATATTGTCCGCATACTTCATTACCATCGAGACCGCAATGCCACTGCACGTATAGAAAGTAGTGTGAATATGATGCAAATCCGACACTCAGGCATTTTTTTAGGGAAAATCGTATATTAATACACAAACTTATAAAAAAACAAATCCCAAATAAATGCACGAACTTTAAAATTTCCAAAAAAAAATACATAAACTTTTGTATGATACATAATACACAAACTCTTATTAACTTCTACATTAAAACCTAAAATTTTATATGAAGCGAAATCCGGTTCACGGGCATTTTTTTTTAAATCTTTGACACAAATATAGAAGAGAATCCACCATCAAATGAGCTTACCTTAAGGCATGGTTAAGAATCATGAGTACCGTGACCAGTGAGTAGCCGTGAAAGAATCCCCTGAACATGGACAGTAGTTATCCATTCAGTCTGAAAGCAGATTATTCGGTTTACAGACCAAAGAACTTAAAACATCAGCAGGCTAATAGTAATGGCTTCTCATCTATCAAGCTTGAATAATGTGATTATTTCCTTTGGGCATACACGAGGAATACATACATATAAACTGGTTACTGCACGTGTACCGAAGCATGTGTGTACATATAGGAAAGCAAATATATATTCATGGACAAGAATCATAAATAACAAGGAAAAGAGCCTCAGAATTACTTGTTTGCAACTGCATCAAAATCTTGAATCACTATGGCAACAACATTGAAGATCATCCCAAAGATGTAGAGATAGAGGTTCTGCACATTTATATTTCTCGAAGGCCGCTTTTTTATAATGGCCTGTCAAAGTTAGAAGGGCTTCACAAGTTACGGACCTAATGATCAAATTATACTGAGTTAAATTATATAGTAAAACCAATGCTTGACCAAAACACTTTAAGCAAGTATTTCATCTCTGTATAGACTCTTGCAAAACCGCACAAAAGGGCCATAACCTAAAAAGATGACAAATGTTATGGAAAAAACCCTAAAAATTCCTGAACTTGTATTTTGGAGTAATATTAATTCCTAAACTTGTAGAGGTGTCTATTAATTCCCCTCAACTTCTTTCCGTCGTGATATTTTGGTGGGAATTACTGAACCACATAAACTGCCCCTACTTCTCAATTTACCGAGCCACGTCGGATCGGTCAACTCGTTTATTTGACCAAATAACGCTATGGATGAATATGAAACCGTTTAACAAGTTTAGGATTTAACATGTTCAATTTTGCAAGTTTGGGAATTAATAGGCACATCTACAAGTTTAGGAATTAATATTACTCCAAAATATAAGTTTAAATTTTTTTAGGGTTTTTGTGAATAAAATATGAGTATTTTTTAATTTCTAAATTGTTTATGAATTGTTTTAGAAAAAATTATATTAAAAAGAATATTTTAAAATTAAATATATTTTTTAATAATCATGAATATGTAATACTGTGAAAACTAAAAATAAGATAATAAAATAATATTGTGGAAGAAATACACATCGAGCACATCACTGTAATTTATTTATTTAAATAGATTATTCTAATGACCCTAAATTAAGTTAAACCAATTGAATTAACAAAACATTTAATCAATGGTTCGTTCTTATCCAAAAACCTGTTTATTTATTTATTTACTTTGTTTTTATTCATACAAAGCTTTTATTTAATTATTATTTACCTTGTTTTGTTTTGGCAAATTAATGGTTCTTATTTCCGGATCAATGCTAAATTGTACTCAAATAATTTTTTTTATTCTTTCTACTCTTCCTAACGAGATTGAAAATCATATTAAATCTCATATAATTTCTACGATAAATGAATATTTATTCAAAAGAACAGTTCATAATTTTATTTTCATCCACAAATTGAGAAAAAAGAAATACAAGTGGAAAAAATATTCATTTGAATGTTGAGACTTTTTTTTGACAATGTTATTAATTTATACTGGGAAAATATTTTTAAAAAATGCATGTCTTAATTAAGCATATAAGTTTGGTGGGTCCATATTATTTACCCCCTTTTATTTTTTTCGAAATTTTCTTACATAAATTTAAATAATATATTAGTATAATTTGTCTGCTCCTCATATTAGTCCAAACATTAAATCACAAAAAGAAAGTTTGAAATTTTAAAATAATAAAGATAATCAAAGGTAAGAAAGAATAATAAAAAAATCTAAAAATTCCTAAACTTGTATTTTGGAGTAATATTAATTCCTAAACTTGTAGAGGTGCGAGCCACGTCGGATCGGTCAACTCATTTTTTTGACCAAATAACGTTATGGACGAATATGAAACTGTTTAACAAGTTCAGGATTTAACGTGTTCAATTTTGCAAGTTTGGGAATTAATAGACACCTCTACAAGTTTAGGAATTAATATTACTCCAAAATACAAGTTCAGGAATTTTTAGGATTTTTTTCCCAAATGTTAAGGTTAATCAGTATAATCTGAGAAGATGCTGCAACAGATATTAGTAGGAATCAAAGTCCAAAGGGAACTAACAACTTACAATTTCCATCATCCAGCCTGGGAGAGATGTCTGAAGAACTCTATCAGAGCTGAGAAAGCAACTCTATATATAAGGCATACTGAATAGATTCTAGTATAGACATACCGAAAAGTTAACTAGCACAGACTATTTCTGGATCAAAAGCGAGAATTGCCGAAGCTCATATTGAAAAGATTCACTGGCCAAGGAAAGCAAAAAAGTAAAGAGCCACACTTACTTGGAATTCAGTTGAGCTGTGGTGCATCCACAACACAGAAGGATGAAGGCCGCCCACTGAATCTCATTCAATCTTGTAGAAGATTTAGTAAGGCAAAATTTATTAACAGAATCTTAACAAGCTTTCACACTTCAAATTGACAGTTTTGTTTGTGTTTCGAACACCAAACGGAAAAAGTATATGGATGGGAATCTAATGGATATCCTGTGGACTTGATCAACATTGCAAAGTATGATGTGCATTTGGACGGAATGCAGCTTACTTTTTCTTCAATATAATTCTGTACAAAACACCAGTACTGATGATGTTCAAGTTCTTCGGTATCTGATATCCCGGGGCGCCCACATAAGCAAAAATATAATACTGTCATACAGAAAGAGACAACAAAAGAAATTAGATACAGACCAACAGGAAGATCAGAAGGCATGAATATCCATGTAAGCCAAAAAATCACAAAAAGGTCACCTGTAGAGATTCTTGACGAGATACAGTGCTGCAGGAATGGGATATATTTTAACTTCGTCGAAAGTTGTACGTAACTTGGTTCAGCAACAGGATCAGGATATCAGTAAGGAGGAAACATATTAAGCTGAGCCTTCCAATACATGGTTCCTCTTTCATGTCCAGCATGATCTACAGACGAAGAGTTCTTTCATAACATTGTTGTGCTCCAAGAAAAAACAGAACAATGTAGTAAGATGTAGCGGAAAAACAAAACTATGATGATTTTCGACATAAGGGACAACATTAATACAGGTTTGGAGACATTCTTTGCTGAAATGTTCTTATCACAGTACTGAATCTCGTCGTACATTCCCAGGAAGCGTTAACCTGTTATCGTCATTGACACCCTCGTTTTTCCATATTCTAGACAAGGCAAGCAGCGATATCGCGCATTTCAGAGTCTCCACCTGATGTCTAAAGGGAGAACAAATCCGGTATTTCAGCTTGACATGACAGCTAATTCAGATTTAGTCTCGTAATGCACACCCAGTCGGAAAATGACACAAACTCACCAAGAAATTTGCGGTTGTAACACTGTACTCATATACCCAGCTCTCTTGGACCAGACAATGAGTATTGCTTGTGAACTCGTCAGGATAGTCAGTGCAAGTGTCGCCACGCTACTGTCTCGGCGCAAGACAACATTAAGCAGTAAACCATAAAGAATCCATTTCCCTAATTTCCAAGAAAAAACCCTAGGATTCGGAGAAAACGCTCACTTTCGTTTCCAATTGGCCCGATCACTCGATCCACCACCCAGAGTAGCCATAGCTACATCACTCGCAGCAACTGCAGAATCGTATAACCGACAATGCGCAGACTTAAAGCCACACGAGAAAAATGGAGATTGGTGAAATGGGAGAGTAAAAAACCCCACCGGGATGAGGTTTTCCCTTCAAATTCTCGATATCAGAAGCGACGCCATGATCATCCTGCAGCTTAAAAGAAGAGATTAACCGTTCCAGCGAATCAGAATCTAAATCCTAGGCAGAAACGAAGATGCGAAGAGATGAGAATTCGGAAGAAAGCAACCTCGTCTTTGATTTTCCGGTAATCCATTATTCAAGCTCTCAGATCTCTGTGCACTCTGCTCCAGAGCTGTGATGATGATACTTATATACTTCTTCGAGAGGAAAAAAAAAATAACGCGCAAAAATAAATCAGTTGAAAGAAAAGAGATTTTTTTGGTGATGGGCTTTTAAATAATATAGGGTTAAAGAAATAGGCCTTGACCCAAATTCTGAAGGGCTCATATGGGCTTAGATTTGGCCCATCTTAAAAATAATCATCCGAAATAGTATAAATTGTATTATCATAAATAATAACTTAATAAGTTAAATTAACCGATTGGATCTTGGTCGCTTCACGTTTCCGACTCGGTATTTATTGAATTTAACTTAATAAGTTAAATTAAGCGGGTTATTTGATTATATTAATTAGGGTGTCAAAACGAGCCCGGCTCGCGAGCTTGCTCGTGGCCCACCGGATAACGAACGATTTGATCTATAATTTTTTCATCTCATTAAAAAACGAACCTAACGAGCCAGACTCATTGAACACGTGTTCAATGAACCTGTTCGGCGAGTTGGTGAACTGCTCAACGAGCTGACTTTTATTTAAAAATAAATTAAATTTTTATAAAAAAATCTAATATAATTTTATATTCTTTTTTTCATATCATTCATAATATGATATTATAAATATTTTAATTATTATGATGGTGATAATTGAAAATATTAAATGATATTGGAGTTTTATTAATTTTTTATGTATTTATTTAAATTTATAGTTAATTTAGAATAAATATAAATAAAAAATATTATACATCTGTTGCTCAACGAGTCGGTTCGTTCAAATCAGAAAATTGACGAGCGATCTGAACCGAGGTTTTTCTGGTTTGTTAGAAAACGAATCTAGGGAAGTGAGCCCAAAATGATTCGAGCTGGCTCGTTTGACACCCCTAATATTAATTAGAACCGAATATTAATCGATTTGATTCGATTAAGAACGATGTGGCTGTACAAATAACTACATAATATATAATAAATATGCAAATGTCACTTGAAATATAATAAAATTGTGATTACAAAAAAAGTGAATGGACCCCACACCAACATCAATTACATATTCATATACATAGACATATGCACCACCAGCCGAATCAAAACCAGCCTGTGATAGAGCTGTGTTCATTACCTCCAAACCTCTCTCTCTCTCTCTCTCTCTCTCTCTCTCTCTCTCTCTCTCTCTCTCTCTCTCTCCCCAAACCACATTTCTTCGTCGTCTTCTTCTTCTTCTTCTTCTTCTTCGTTGTCTCTGCTGAAGAGAGGGAAGTTACAGAGCAACAAACATGAGCTCGGTAAAGGAGACTCTCCAGATCCGGAAACCCACATCGCTTCCGGTCTCGCAACCCTCCGCCGCCGACGCAGATCAGCCGGGGCTCCTCCGCCGCCGCCTCTCCTCTCTCTCCCTCAACCTCTCTCAATCCGTTTCCGCTCGATTCCCCAGATCCAACTCGGTTTCCGCCATGGGAGAGCAAGCCGGGAGCTCTGTAAGGGAATGGTGGGATCGGGGATGGGCGTGGATCCTGTCGAGGAGACCCATCTTCATCAGAGATCTGGAGATGAACAAGGACGAGGCTAGGGTTCTTGATTCCCACGACAGAGGAAGTCTCATCCACGTCTTCTTCAAGCTCCGCTCGGAGATCCGCCGCCTCATCCGCTCCGACGGCGCCGACGGTCTTCCTCTCTCCTGCAAGTACGGAGCTCAGCGATGACGTGGCGAAGTCTGTCTGTACGGAACGAATCTATGTTCCAAAGTGTGTCTACGTATGCAACAATATATCATCAATTCGTTGGGAATTTTTGTGCATGGCTCTGCTCTTTTTTTTTTAAGAAAAAAAAAAGATCTTCGTTTTGCCGATTATTATTGGAGTATAATATAATGTTTTCTGCTATAATTTGTAGATTTTTGTGTGTGTGATTTAGTTGTATTGTAAATGAAAAAAAAAATTCTATCTGTTTCATGTGCCTATATATATACATACGATGTGGAGATAAATTCTACTAAATTCCAAGGTATATTTCCCGTTTCCTGGAATATAAAAAATATTAAAACTTATTCATTTCCCCCATTTTTGTGTATAAATGTTCGATTCCTCAACTTTTTCAATGTATTTTATGTTTAAAAAGAGTATCTAACAAAACTTGGGACACGTTCCAAAGCTCAAGCTTTAAATGAGATGACGTGTGGCCGACATTCACTTTGTCGGTGGCATGGAAGGAATCTCGTCGGTGGATCATTGTTGTCGTATGTTATATGTGCGACTTGTAATAGCTAAATTCTAAATCATTGTAGTAATAATAATAAGGTAAAATTTTATATAACTACCATAATTTTGCAAATATATATCAAATAAATAAATAAAATTTTATTTTGATCTATTTGATACGTTAAAATATTCTAAATCAATATATTAAATGTTAATTATAAATTAATAAATTTAACTAACGCAATTTACAATATCATTTCGTCTTTTATCTTGAAACTTTTATTGATACATCGTTGTTATGGTTGATGGTTATAGTTGTTATCGATTCCGTGGATTGGAGTATCCATTTAAAATACTTTAACATTTTAGATATCAATTTAAAACATTTTAAATTTTAGACATCAAGATCAAATTAAAAGTTTATATATTCATTTGATAGATTTTGTAAAATTGTGATACTTATATAAGATTTTTTCTAATAATAACAATAATCATCGCGATTATTTATATATATAATATATATATCTTCATCAAATTAGTAATGTTTGAGATGAATGTGAGAGGAGTGGGGGGAGTATTTAATCATATGTTGTAGGAACATGGTTTGGTATAACGTGGACCCAATGTGCAATTGCATGAATTCGGTTTAAATTCAAAGACAAAAAAGAACTTGAAATATGTTTTCCATCACATGATTGAAAATATTGCTTTGTTTGAAAATAAATTTGTCTCTGTTCATCATATACATACATACATATATACATATATATACCACAAATTTCATGTGCAACAAGTTTCGATCCGAGACAGGTTGAAGCGTCGTATTCAGTCGTGGTTAGAAAAATTGAATCAGAAGGCAGAATGCTTAAAGAAAAAAATCACAAACCTTACATAGAGACAACCTTAAATTACAAAAACACAATGTCTCGACAAAAAAAAAAGACAACAACAAGGCTTATGAAGAAAAAAACACGTCTCACACCATGAAACATAAACACTCTTGCCATAGCATTTACTTCTTCAACCTCGAGAGATCCTTGTGGCATGATGATGATGATGATGATGATGATGATGATGATGGAAACAACTTGGAGGGATCTCTTTGCTGTAATTGCAGCTTTCGAGTTTACACGGTAAGGAGAAGAAATATGCAGAGAGAGAGGGAGAGAGCGCTCTGCTAGGGCAATGCATCTCTCATGCTCATGTTCAGACTATTTCTCATGGTTCTTCTCCCGATCCCGGCATTACCCTTTTGCATCATGGCGACGAATTCGCCGTAATCGATCCTTCCGTCCTGCAACAACATCAAAGTCAACAACTTTATCAGCTAAAAGATCCTCAAAAATCAATCTGACGGGGGCATGTCCTGTCCAGAGGCAGGGCGGCAAAAGCATATATACATTGTCTTGATCCACTTCTCTGATGATGTCTTCGAGGAAGACATCGCTCATGCCATGTTCAGCGCACGCTTGCTGTAACTCGTCTATCGTGATGTAACCACTTCCGTCCTTGTCAAAGTACTGGAACGCCGACACCAGATGCTCCTCCCGGTCCAGTTTGTTTAGATGTATCGTTGCTGCAATGAACTCTCCGTAATCTATTGTCCCGCTGTTATCCACATCGGCCTGCAAAAAGAACGTTCTTTATGCGAATCAGTTCATCCTGAAGTGATGCGGACAGATGGATGAATGGATGGATGGCTGGATGGATGGATGGACGGAAGGACGGATGGATGGATATCATTATTATCTTGCCAGAAGATGTGTTCTTACCGCTTCCATGAGATCACGGATCTCCGTATCTTTCAAGGTTGACCCGTATTTTCTCAACCCGGCCTTGAGCTCATCAAATGTGATTGCTCCACTGTTATCGGTATCCATTGCTGTAAACATCTCTCTTAAACCGGCGATCTCCTCCTCCGAGAGGCTCTCAGCTATCACCTAACGTGCCAAAAGAAAGATCAACGAACGAGTTCAGAAGAAAACACCAGCAGTAAGCTTATCCCAACAATGGCAACTCACCCTTAAGGCCATTTTCTTGAGTTTGTTCATTGCCGAGAACTGTTTGAGACGAGACAGTACAGCCGGATCAAGCGCTCTATCTGGCGCAACCCCGTTCTCGCAGATCCAAGGATGACCTGAACAAGCGATTCATGCAATATACACTTTATTTTTCACGAGGTTTCTTAAATTAAACTAACCATTCTTTCAGGCTCTGTCTCGAAAACCGATGATTACTTACGCAGAACTTCATGAGCAGTCAACCGGTCCGCAGGATTGGAACATAACATCTTCCGGATCAGATCTTTAGCACTGTCTGATATCAAAGGCCAAGGTTCTGACTCGAAGTCGATATATCCTTTCAAGACAGCATCGAAAATTCCTTGTTGTGTTTCTGGTTCCAAAAGAACAAAAGCACATTTCAGGCAAAAATCCTAAAGGATTATGAAAGAAACGACGATTCAGGTTCAGACATACCGGCCCAGAAAGGCGGGACGCCGCTTAGCAATATATACAATATAACCCCAGCCGTCCACACATCGGCTTCCGGTCCATAACGCTTGAGCAGAACCTCGGGAGCAACATAATATGGACTTCCAACCACATCAGTGAACACTTGACCTGAACTTGAAGATTAGACCATTAAGACAAAACATAAGAGAAAGAGGTTATTCAGTTCAGGAAACTGATCCTGTTATACCTGGTTTGAAAAACACGGAAAGCCCGAAATCAATGGCCTTGAGAGAGAAATCATCATCCTTGTTAACCAACAAGAAATTCTCAGGCTTTAGATCTCTATGGATGACACCGAGCGAATGGCAAGCCTCAACAACCCCGACGATGATTTTGGTCAATTCAGCGGCTTTCCTCTCGCTGTAATGCCCTCTCTGAATGATCCTATCGAACAACTCGCCTCCGGCACAAAGCTCCATCACGATATGAACATACAACGGATCCTCGTACGCGCCCTTTATCGTCACGATGTTCTTGTGACCGGCTAGATGATGCATTATCTGAATCTCCCTCCTTACATCCTCCACGTCTTCTTTCGAGATCAGCTTCCTCTTCGATATAGATTTGCACGCGTAGTCAATCCCGGTGGCGATTTCGGTACACAGATAAGTTGTTCCGAACTGGCCTTGTCCTAGCTTTCGGCTCAGCGAGTAAAGATCACGGATGTTGGGGGTCTTGTGACCAAGAACGTAGTAGGACTGGTTATCGATGTTGCGTCTCATAATGTGTTCTTTTCTTGGATTGACAAGAGCTGGACTGTTGCTGTCTTTCTTGGAAGATTCTTTGGAGAGTTCTTGTTCGATGATGTTTAAGGTTGTCGGAGATTGATGATCAGAGGAACCGTTGGTGCGTTTGGAATTCTCCTCGGGCAGATTATCGTCGTTGCCGCCCTCGTAGAGTTTGTCCTTGAAAGACCCACGGCATGAATTGCCCATGAACAACGAGAAATTGACCTAATCTGATGTCCACTTCACTTTCTTTCCCTCATCCAAGGAACTGTTCATAGATTTTTCACTGGAAAACTGAAGTCCCCAGAAGAACAGATAAAAAACCCAAATCAGACCTAATCTCCAGAACCAGAAACATGAAAAAAGCATCAAACTTTATCAATCAGGTGGAGAAAACAACGAGAGCCCAGATCAGATCGAGCATCAGAAAGCATATATTTCATGTCTTTTTCCATTTCCACATCAAAAAATCAACAACGAAAGGGGCTCATCTTTGCTGACATGCCCAGAATCACCTTAAATGTTCATCGATCATATGCCAAAAAAAAAAAAAAAAACAACAGAGCAACAAATGACAAAGTCGATCTCAGATAACACAAACGTCTACGAATAGAAACACTAAGAACACGAAAACGAACATGTGAGAGAAAGGAGAAGGATCCAGTACCAGTGGCAGAGACGGCGCAGAGAAGAGGGAATAATGGATCGAGAATATGACGAAAGGAAATTGGAAGACAAGAGACTAGGGAGGAAGATGAGAGAAAGCTAGATAGATACACAAGTGCATATATATATATATATATATTATTAGTTTCTTTTGGATATTAGCAATGATATTTCCAACTCTCTGAAAGTTTTTTGGTATTGGGTATTTGCATACGCTCTTAGGGGGGAATTACAAAAATGACTTTAAATGTCATTTTTACTTCATGGCATGACCTCCCTTCTTTTTTTAAAAAAACTAACATCATCTCATAACCTTATAATTGTATCCTTCCAAAAATACCCTTCCTTTTTTATTTAATATTTTAATTTTAAAAAATATTTCAACTCTCTCTCTCTCCTCTTCCACCTCTCTCTCTCCATTCGCATATGTGGAATAAACTACAGTCTCTCTTCTTATCCATTCTATAATCTTCCAACACTCTTTACTTCCAATCTATTTTTCAGCTAATTTATTGTGAAAAGACAATATTAAGTTTGAGCATTTTATCGATTAAATACAAATCTAAATAATAGGTAAATATTGTTTCTAAAATACGTTATTAAATTTGTTGTGAAAAAACAATATTAAGTTTGAGCATTTCATCAACAATACCATGATTCAAGTTATTATAACTGATCGAAATCGTTAAATATGTGAAATTCATCAAAATGGAAGAATTCGGAAAACTGGTCATACATATGTGTCAGAATGGTCAAATTGGTCGTACTTCTAACTGGTCATACTTGTCAAATTGGTCAAAATGATTATTCTCACAAAATTGGTAACGCTGGTCATAATCATCAAAGTGGTCAAACTGATCATACTCATTAAATTTATTATATGATATGATTATTACTATGTTAACATTTTTAAAACGATGAATTATGCAATTTTAAACAAGTCTGACCATTTGGGTACGAAAAAAATGCCTAAATTAAATTTAAACGATTCAAAAAGGTGTATAGGGGTTATAAGAATATTATTACATCATTTTGGAGTTCTAATTTCACGTGAAAAAAAATCTCCCGAGACCAGTCAATTGTATCAAATGTGTTATACAAACACTACTAGTACTTTAGGTCTTCTTTGGAAGGAGTTACATTGTCAAACAAAAAATGTGGTCAATCCATATTGCTACAACATATTTGAACCTGAAAAATTTGTAATATGATATGATTATTATTATGTTAATACTTTTAAAACGATGAATTATGCAATTTCGAACAAGTCTGACCGTCTGACCAAGGTATGACCGTCTGATCGTATGACCGTCTGACCATTTGGATACGAAAAAAAAATGTCTAAATTAAATTTAAACGATTTGAAAAGATGTATAGGGGTCATAAAAATACTGCTGCATCGTTTTGGAGTTCTAATTTCATGTGTAAAAAAAAAATCTTCTAACAAAAGTCAATTGTATCTAATGTATTACACAAACACTACTAGTACTTTAGGTCTTCTTTGGAAGGAGTTACATTGTCAAACAAAAAATGTGGTCAATCCATATTGCTACGACAGATTTGAACCTGAAAAATTTGTGATATGATATGATTATTACTATGTTAATACTTTTAAAACGATGAATTATACAATTTCGAACAAGTCTGACCGTCTGACCAAGGTATGATCGTCTGATTGTATGACCATCTGACCATTTGGGTACGAAAAAAAAAGGTCTAAATTAAATTTAAACGATTTGAAAAGATGTATAGGGGTCATAAAAATACTGCTGCATCGTTTTGGAGTTCTAATTTCATGTGTAAAAAAAAATCTTCCAACATAAGTCAATTGTATCCTA